GACAATGGTGCCGCAGGGTGGCTGCGGCCCGATGGGCCCGGGCGGCCCGATGATGGGCCCAGGCGGTCAGCCGGCCGGCCGGCCCCCGTCTCAGTGACGGCGTGCGCCGCATTGGAGCAGCAGCAGCAGCAGCAGCAGCAGCAGCAGCAGCAGCAGCATGACAGTGTGGTGATGGGCCAATTCTCCACCACCACCGTAGGTAGGCCAGGTTGAAGGGATGATGAGGAGGTCCTACTCCTCCTTCTTCGTCTTCTTCTTCTTCTTCGTCTTCTTCTTCTTCTTCTCCTCCTTCTCCTCCTCCTCCTCCTCCTCCTCCTCCTCCTCCTCCTCCTCCTCCTCCCCTCTCCTACCTATGACAATGGTGGTGGAACATCGGCGCATCATATGGATCATCGGAAGGATATCGGGAGGGACTAGAACTGGGACGAATCGTTCCAGGGCGTTCCGGAGCTATCTCGGGTCTGGAGGATCCACATGGGTACGGGGAGAAGGGGGACGAAGGCCGACAGCCGTTCTCGTCCGTTTGGGACAGGACTCGCTGTCGGCGTCGCCGCGGCCGTCGTCCACTTGAGACAAGGAGTCGCTTGCCCAGCAGCGGCTGCTGTTGGTTCTTCACCACCTACCAAACCACCCCAACCCAACCCGAAGGCCTCAATTTGCCCTCCATTTCCAGTGGGGGGGGGTCCTGGAACGTTGAAAAAACACATGGAACCCGTACCCCCCCCAACCCGAAATTCGGGTCAAATTCGGGCCTTCGGGTTGGGTTGGGGTGGTCTGGTAGGTAGTCAGTTCTGGACAGCACTTGCTGCTGGGCACTGCGCCCGCTCTCCCCGTTCCCACTTCGGGTGCGCTCAGCAGAGCGCTCATCGGAGCGCTCTACGGAGCCGCCGCGGCGCCCGACGCACTCGGAGGTGGACAGGCCTCCTGCCCTGACGCGTCCGTGGAGGAATGGGCCGTTGCGGTTCGCGAGAGGGCGTCGGGGCCGTCGTTTTTGCGGGTCGTGGTCCGTCGGTTTCGGTCCCAGGCCGTTTTCACGAAGGGGAGTTTTGTTCAAGGGAGGTCTGCCCACCGCCGATGCACGCTTCGTCGGAAACTGAAGCGTCTACATTGCCCGTGGCGGGCTGTTCTTCGATGCCAGGACTTTTTGAGGGTCGGGGACGACGTGCGGGTGGTGTGGTGTATACTTTTTCCCAACCTCCCTGTGGTGTTGGGTCCTCGCTTGTGTTGTAGAGACAGCGCCCCGCGTCCTCCTCCTCCTCCTCCTCCTCCTCCTCCTCCTCCTCCTCCCCCTCCTCCTCCTTCTCCTCCTCCTCCTCCTCCTCCTCCTCCTCCTCCTCCTCCTCCTCCTCCCCCTCCTCCCTCCTCCCTATCTGTGCCTCTGCTCTCCGCCCAGTACGGCGTTTCGTGGCCCCACAGGGAGCTCCACCGAAGGTCCCGGTGGCGAACTCGCATGCGGTTCCTGCGCCCAGTGCAGCGTTTCGTGGCCCCGTAGGGAGCCCCACCGAAGGTCCCAGTAGCGGAACTCGCATGTTCTTGCGCCCAGAACAGCGTTTCGTGGCCCCATCGGGAGCTCCACCGAAGGCCCCAGTGGCACCGCCCGCATGCGTCACTCCCACCCAGTCCGGCGCTCCGTGGCCACATAGGGAGCTCCACCGCAGGCCCCAGTGGCACCGCCCGCATGCGTCATCCCCACCCAGTACAGCTTCGTGGCCCATAGGGAGCTCCACCGAAGGCCCCAGTGCCTGCACTCGCATGAGGTTCCCCCACCCAGTACAGCGTTTCGTGGTACCATTCGGAGGTTGATGAACCTCCTACCCTGACACGTCGATTAGCCAATTGGCCGTTTTCGGTTCGCGAGAGGACGTCGAGGTCGTCATTTTTGCGGGTCCAGGTCCGGTGGTTTCGGTCCCAGGCCGTTTTCACTAAAGGGTGGTTTACAAAAGGGAGGTTTGTCCACCGCCGAACCATAGGGAGCTCCACTGAAGGCTCCAGTGGCGGTGTTCGCATGCGTTCCCCCACCCAGTACAGCGCTTCGTGGCCCCATAGGGAGCTCCACCGCAGGCCCCAGTGGCGGTGTTCGCATACGTTCCCCCCGCCCAGCACAGCGCTTCGTGGCCCCACGGGGAACTCCATCGGAGGCCCCAGTGGCTGTACCCGCATGCGTTCCCCCCACTCAGTACAGCGTTTCGTGGCCCCATAGTGAACTCCACTGAAGGCCCCAATGGCTGTACTCGCATGCGTTTCGCCCACTCAGAACAGCGTTTCGTGGCCCCACAGGGAACTCCACCGCAGGCACCAGTGGCGGCCCCGCCCCACTGCGGCGCACCCCTGGCACTTTTCGCGGCCCGGTAGTGCGTTCCGCCTTCAGCACCAGTGGCAGCGCCCACATGGAAGGCCCGCCCTGCATCGGGACACCCTTCGCATGCTTCATGGCCCCATGAGGAGATCCCCCGACGGCGACACCCAAAGCGACGGTGCTCACAGCTGCGCATGGTTGGGTCCTTCGCCAGGATATTTTTCGGCTCCCCAGTGGAACAATGAAAACTGTATACACCAGGATCCCGTACACACCAGAATCCGCTCTTTTGTGCAATTGTCAGCACAGGGCTGGAAAAAAGGACATCGGAGACCCTCGATTTGCCCTGGCCCGATTTTGTCCGGGTCCCAGCTTCGCCTCGATGTTCGGCGGGGGGGGGCCTCCGACGGGGGTCAAAAATCCCTGCCTCACGGACGCCCCGCGCCTTTGCGGCGCGGCTGCGGCCCGCGACGGGGGTCGATCCTGTGGTTGTCGGTGGTGCGGCGCCCCCCCCCCCCCCCAGGCACCCCCGCGCGTATTTCACTAGCCCAAAACATACCCGGACCCGGGGTCAGCTGGGGTGAAAAGGGCCGCCCGCTAGAGCGTTTTCGGCCTTGCCGCCACCTCGTCTGGGTACGGGTCGGTGCCCGAAACAACCATACATACCCGGACCTAGCTGGGGTGGTGGTTGGGTCACCCCGTCTAGGTACGGGTATGTATGGTGGTTTCGGGAGCCGACCCGGACCCAGGGGGGGTGATGCCCCGAGGGCCCCTTGCCACCCCGTCTGGGTAAGGGTACGGGTATCTTTCGCGCTCGAGAGTATTGTGAACCGCGGAGTATGGCGATTTTTTCCAGGCCTCGCTCACGGGATCCGAGTCGATGGGGTCGGGGGATCGCGCCGCATCACAGATGCATCAGCGGTGCGGCTCGGTGTGGAGCGCGATCTTCTCCACGCCGACGGCGCCGATGCATCGCCGACGTCGCAGATGCATCGCCGATGCATCGTGGATGCATCGGCGATGCGGCGCGATCCTCCGCCCCCATCTACTCGGACCCCATCCGGGAGGCCTCTGATTATGATTTTCCTTTCGGGAGAAGTGTCCATCGGTCTTTGGAAGCAGTTCCCCTGCGCTTCCCATATTCCAGGACACTTTGAGCGCCTTACTGCTTCAATCATCGGGCGCTTCTCCCTGTTCCTTGCTCTTTCGCGGGCGGGCGGAACCTCAACGACCTCCTCTTCCTTTGGTTCAGCGCCTGCCTCCTCTTCCTTTTGGCTCAGCGCCTTCAGCATTTCTCCCTTCCTCCTCTTCCTCCTCTTCCTTTGGTTCAGCGCCCTCCTTCCCTGCCTGTTTCTGCCCGCTCCTGCCGACCGACGGGTGCACCAGGGCCACCAGGGAGGTGCAGCAAGGGGAGAGGGGAGAAGCTCCCTATGGGGCCACAAACCGTGTGAGGGGTGCGCCACAATGCGGGGCCGCCATGCGAACCCTGCCGCTGGGGCCTTCGGTGGAGCTCCCTATGGGGCCACGAACCGTGTGAGGGGTGCGCCACAATGGGGCGGGGCCGCCATGCGAACCCTGCCACTGGGGCTCTCGGTGGAGCTCCCTATGGGGCCACGAAGCGTTGTACTGGGTGGGGGAAACGCAGAGAGGAAGGACGAGGGGGAGGAGGGAGGATGGGGGAGGAGGAGGGAGGAAGGAGGCGGGAGGATAAGGCGGGGACCGTCTCTTCAAAACGAGGACCCAACACCACAGGATCGTTGGGAAATGGCAACTTTGGGGCTCATTGGCGGGCTTCTCTCGGAGGCCTCTCGGATGAACCTCGGGCCCATCCTGTGGGCTCCTCCTCGGAGCCTCCCTGGGCCCTCTTTTGGGCTACCTCGGAGGCCGTCGACCAGCGGAGAGGGGGGCCCTTAATCGGGCGAGGAGAGCTCCCGCGCCTCCGTTCAGCCCAGGAGGGAGGAAGGGGGAGGGAAGGAGTGAAGAGAATGGAGGGAGGGATGGAGGAGGAAGGGAGATGAGAGGAAGGCGGGTGGATGCAGGACGGATGGAGGAGGGCAGGAGGAGAGGTGGGCGGTTGGGTGGTTGGGGGGCAATGAAGGGGGGGTTACAGTGCCCACTCTTATAGTCGTGGCCTGCCAGGCGATGCGCTTAACGTCTACACCGCTTGTCGGTCTCGTCCGCGCACTCCCCCCCTACACTGCCCAGGATTTCAGAATAGGTGCCACGTCCAGATCACCTCATAGCTGTCAACCGCATACCGCTAGCGAGCTTGCCCGACTTGGTGCCGGCATGGCGAGAGGTCTGTGGCAATCTGCGCACATTCGTGTAGGCTTTCTGCCCCCTTGCTTCTGGAACACATCTGGTCGCTGAACCTCTTCGGGCGGAATGGGAGACGCACCCGCGACGCGACACAAATCCGACCGATCTCGTTCCTCAGCAGGAGGACGAAGAGGAGGGAAGGAGGAGGAGGAGGAGGAGGA